TCAAAGATGCAGAATTTCTGTGTTTGGGGCATGATGACTTTTAACTGTAGAATTTCAAGTGATGATTGCAAAACAGTTGTGATGTAGGTATCATGTCCTCAAAGAATACAATCTCAAAGCAGGAAGAGAATGAGAGCAATTGGATAGCAAGTCTTTCTCCTGAGGCCATTCTTTCTAAGAATGAGAAAAGTCTTTCCCAAAAGCCTTAGTAAACTGTTGGAAGATCAGTCAGAAGGAATCCCTTTATGTTGAATTTACTAGTTTGTATTACATGATGATTTTAAAACCAGATTCAGACAAAGAGAATATGGTTGCCATAGCTGCTGTGGAACAAAAATGCCTGGCTATGGAGAAGAAGGGGATCATTCTCTGGGGATAAATGACAATACCTAGCACATCCTAAATGGTGTGTGTGATCCTTGAAGCATAGAGACCATTGCACTTGAGGAGGAGCTGACCTCTTTATGAAGAAGAAGAAGCAACAAGTTAAATAAAGCAATTAATCATTTAGTATTTAGGGTGGGTAAACTATGGGCCACATGCCAAATCCAGACTGCTGCCTATTTTTGAAAGCTTTATTGGAAGACAGTAATTCAAATATGTCAGTTATTGATTATGGTTACTTTCACACTATAACAGCAGAATTGAGAAGTTGCGTTGAGACCATGTGGTTTGCAAGGTCTAAAGTACTAACAATCTGGGCCTTTAAGAAAATGTTTCTTGACCTTAGAATTATTCATTTTATTAGCTGATGGGAGGTTTTGATTTCTGGTGAATTATTATAGTTTCTGGTAGACACAGCAGGATGATCTAACAAGGAGAGACAAGGTTTGTGATTTAGTTCTGTTGTGCTGCTTGACTATGTGTCCTGGGGAAAATTACTGAATCATCTGCACTTCAATTTCAAAAGGGGATGCAATTCCTATCATATAGGATTAATGTGAGGATCAGATTAGAAGATATTTTATTAAATCATTGACCAATGAAAAAAGGACAGGGAGGTAGCATCTTCTGACCTCCTGTAATTTCAGAAGAGGAAGACAGAATCACCATCAAGCTTATTCTTATGAGGCCAGGCATGCCGCCACCCCCCAGCCTTTTTACTAACTTTGACACCAACTGTCTCTCCCACAGTACTCACTACTTCTCTGCTGGGTTTGATAATTTGTTGCAGTGGCCACACAGAACTCACAGACAATACTCATGATTATGGGGTTTATTAGGGAAGTAACAGACTACAATTTAGGTTCAGGACATACTCAGGATAGAGTTCTTTGATCAGGACAGTCTCCCTTCTGGTGTGCCCTCAGACATGCCTCTCTGGCCCTTGGCCTCTCAGCCTGGCCTCTGTCTCTGCAGACCAGGTAAGCCTGATGCTCTGTCTCATGCCTCTTGTTTCCACTGCTACCGTCTCTCTGCTCAGGCGTCTCTCTGCCAAGGTGTCTCTCAGCCACGGAGGTCCAGTGCAGGCATCTTGGGTCCAAGGACGTGCTTCACTTCACCTCCAACTCTTCTGCATGGATGTCACTGAGATTCCCTCTCTGTCTCTAACACAAACAAACAAACAAACAAACAAACAAAAAACCCACTGCCATTGAGTCAATTCTAACTCATAGTGACCCATATTGGGTTTCCATAACAGTAAATCTTTACAGAATTAGATTGCCCAGTCTAGCTTCTGCAGAGTTGGCTGGTGCGTTTGAACCACCAACCTTCTGGTTAGCAGTCAGATGCGTTAGGCACTGTGTTTCCAAAACTCCTTTCTCTACCTCTAGGAGGGCTCATTTTAACCCTGGCAGACTGACAAAACTAACCAATCCCATCATACCTTATTTGCATAGTCCCACCCAGTAATCTGGTGGGAGTTACAAAGACTATGGCTACAAAAGCCATACCACATAATTCACTGAACCACAACCCATAAATCTGAAATGAAAAAAAGGTTAAAACAGACAGAAAAAGAGCACAGGAATTGTATTTAGTTTAGTCAGCACATCTGTGATTTAAGTAAATGTTATAATATGAATACTTTTAGTAAAATAGATTTTTTGGCAAATTCTAAGATTCCAAATTTATTAATAATTGAAGTTTTATAACCTATTGGAAGTTCTGACCCAACATTCTGTTATTACATATTCTATCATTAAGTTATTAAAAATGATTAAATGATGATGCTTTCTTTGAATCTGATTAAGTTATTGTGAGGGATAAGCATGGAGATTTCGAAATAATTTTGTAATTCTTTAAGTTAGATAAATAGAAAACCAGAATGCATTTTAAGCTTTGTATCTCTGCACTCTTTCACCTCTGAGTTTTGTACATGTATTTACTCAGATGTCAGGTCCTTTGTGATTGATGGAAAATATGAGAAGGAAATCAGTTGGTAGAATGTTGTTGTTGTGTGCTGTTGAATCAGACCTACTCATAGAAACCCCTTCTTGGGTTTCTGAGGCAGTTTCACTATGGAAGTAGATTTCCCAACCTTCCTTCCGAGGAGTGGCTGGTGGGTTTGAACCGCCAGTCTTCTGGTTAGTAGTCAAGTGCCTTAGCCACTATGCTACCAGTGCTCCCTGTTGGTAGAATAGGGTGGTAGCAAATGGAGATATCAGTTTCCGATGGAAAAAAAAAAAAAAAATGATTATAATTACTTTGCCATTTTCTTGCTCTTGGAGTCTGTGGCTTGTTAAAGCCACTGATTATAAAATAAGGATCTTACTTTTTAGACTGTTGTTGTTGTTGTTGTTATGTGCCGTCGAGTCGGCCCCGACTCATAGCGACCCCTCCTTGGGTTTCCGAGGCAGTATCACTACGGAAGTAGGATTGCCCAACCTTCCTTCCGAGGAGTGGCTGGTGGGTTTGAACCGCCAGCCGTCTGGTTAGCAGGCAAGTGCCTTAGCCACTATGCTACCAGAGCTCCCTTTTAGACTGTAGGTTATGTTAATGAAAAAGCTGTTCTTGGAGGGATGATAGTGGATATCAATAAATGTATACTAAGAAATAAAGGAAAAGTTAAGTAACCGTTCATGAGTTAATATACTTCAACCACCAGCATAGCAGTCAACTGTATGGTATTTCATGTTGAATTTTTTGCTCTGTGTTTTTGTATTTTAAATATTTTCCACAGAAAGAGGGATTGATTTGTGGGGCTGTTTATCACATTGTGTCTTAAATAATAGATCTTCACTGTAGAGGAGATCTACTAGAAAACAGAAAACATCTCTTTTGCAGAGCTTTTATTTTATAGTACAACATCAATAAGGAGATATGTTGGGATGAAAAACAAAAATAAATAAATAAATATATTTTCACCAAGAAAGAGACTAGAAGTTGGTATTTTTAATGGTCATTGTATATAAATAATATATGAGTAAATGCCTACGTGAATCTTGAGGCAATGTATTTCACTATGCATCAATATTCAAGAGGTATATTAAAAAATGTCAAGTTATATCAAATTTTTTTCTATAAGAGATACATTATTTTTGTAAGATTGTACTTATATCCTCAATGATCTTATCTTTCATCAATGCATGTAAACTGTTAGTGATGTCAGAATCATTAAATTTACAGAAGACATTTTCACTTGAGCATCTAACCTGATAAAAGGTCAAACCCTGTCCTCAAGGAACTCAGGAACTGGAGAAACACTTAAATATGGGAACAACCAATTACTTGCAGTGCTGTGGAAGCCACAAGGAGAATCTTAAATGGTGCTAGGGGAGTAAAAGGAGAAGATCATCTATGTCCTGAAGAACTTCTATGTGATGTTCAGCAAAGAAAGGGACAGAGGATATGGGTGGGCCAGGAAGAAGAAGCAGTGCATTCATTCCTGGCAATTGGAGGAATTAGAATGATAGTTGGAAATTAAATTGTGTTTTAGAGTGCCAGAAGATGAGTTTAGACAGACAAAATTTCAGAAGGGCAAAGTTTTTCTTTGTGTTAGTAAGGATTTTAGTTACTTCCTTGGAGACAGATTTTTAGACAGAGAAGGGACATGAGTAAATTTCCTTGTAGTGAGATGACTATTCTGTCACTTTGAATGATGGGTAGAAAGAAGCTCATTGTGACCTCCAGTTAGTAAGCTAGCATAATATTTCCTGCTCTTGAACATTATTATTAATCTGGATTTAAGAAAAAATTTAAAGAGCTTAAAATGCTGGATAATTTATTTATCTTTGACTTCTTAAATATATTTTTTTCTATGTCACAGTAGAATTGGTAGTAATATTTCAGTTGTTTAAAATGAGAATAATTTCTAAATATGGTAACAGTCTGTGTCCTATAAATACCACATGCTTATGCTTAATTTCATATGTGGGAAGCAGATACAGACAGACAGCATAAAAAAGTAAGTGATTATGATTTTAAAAATGCATTTTTAAGAAAATATTTTTAAAATGACAATAATTTGTTCCTGCTAAATATTTACTAGAAACATTCTTCACATTTGAGAGTCCATTTCAGGGTTTAGAACATTTTCATTTTAATCACACAATAAAAGGAGAAAGTGAAAGAATAATTGGCTTAGCTATCAGCCAATTACAGTAGTAGCTCAGATAATCTATGGAAACTAACACTAGTTTCAATAAAATAATCACAAAACACACTGATCAGATTTTTAAGGATATTTGGCAACATTGAAAGAAAAGGGGATGTCATTTCAATCTTTCCTACAAAATATTTATTAAAATTGAAATTAATAAGAGGGCATTTGGAGTGTTTGATTCTAGTATCATTTAGATTTTGCTGTTAATGTGTCCTAAGATGAAGCTTCCCTAAAGTAACTCTAGTTGTTTAATGATAGTGGAGATATAAGACAATTGAATGCAGTGGTCCATCCAAGTACACTTGTTAAGTACTATGTGGGGTCCATCATTCTTTCTAGAATCTCTGAGACCAGAGACCATGAGAAGTCCTCCATGCACTGATCATGGCCAGAGACAGTTGTTGGTGTCAGGATGCACTGCTGACAGCATTTTCCTCTGTTCTTTCCTTGACAGATACAACAACATATTCTACAGAGCGCTCAGAGCACTTCAAACCCTGCCGAGACAAGGACCTTGCCTATTGCCTCAATGATGGCGAGTGCTTTGTGATCGAGACCTTGACCGGATCACACAAACACTGTCGGTAAGCCACTTTAGCCATTCAGGTAGAGAGGGCAGGATCTCAGAATAGCCTGGAGGTGAAAGGCAGTGGTGAGCAACTGAAATAGACACTGTCTGTGGTGCATATACTCCACCTATGCCATTGAGAGAATAGAGTATTAATCTAGTATGCTACAAGTATTGGAAGGACTTAAAACTAAAAGCAATAGAGACATGGTTTACATTTTACTTGACCATGCAAAGGAATACTTTTCTATCTGGCCATGTAACAAAAGTAATTATTTACTCACATTACAAGCCTGTATATATGGTGTAGGATCTAGGTAAATATCCTGATACTCAGAAATAATCTTTTGTTGTAAACCTATACACTGAGGCAGGACAAAGCAACTGCTCATCTAAAGTCTTGTCTCTGTATTTATCTTGTCTTTTTATTTAAATACAGAGATCTTGTCTCTGTATTTACCATACCCCAGAGACTGTAACTGTGTCCAGAGAAAACTGCATCTTATTTTGATTCTGGTCTGGTTTATTAATTTCAATCTTTTTTTGTTTGTTTGTTCACCTCTGATGATGAAATGCTCTCTAGCAAGGTGTTGTAAATGAAACCATAGTCCTATTATAGTCTCAGTAGAAAACTACTTAGCAGAACATCTCTGTAGAGGGCAGGAGATGCTTAATTGGTTTTTAGGGACATAAGTTTTTGTAACAGCTAAAAATAAAAACAAATGGAGATAAACAGTGAAATTGTGGACACTGCAGCTTTAAGACTCAATAGAAGAATCAAATTAACATCTGAAAAATATTTCCCACTGTGTTTTTATTTCCAGCACTGCTCTGGTAATTTGTTTTTCCTTGAAATTGTATAAGCTTCAGTGATTACATATATCCACACCCCTTCCCTTCTCTTTATTTACTCTACTCATATGACACAGTTATTAAATTAATTATTCTGAATCATGAAGCATGGAAAATTACAACTATTTTTTCTCCTCTCTATTGCTCTCTTAAGAACTTTATTTCTGTATTATTTTATAAAATGTCATGGAGGGATGCATCTTATTGTTATAAACTTAGAAAGTACCCCCAAATACCATCTGGCTCTAGGAACCAGATTCAGTCCACAAGAAGGACTTGAAGCCAGCCTAGTTTAGAAGAAATGATATATTTATATATAGTAGTAAATCTCTGTAAAACTTGCAGTATGTCCTATGTCTGGGCAAATGGACTCATGGACTTCCTTCATCTTGAACAGGCAGCTTTCATGTGATGTCTGGAAATGTTGTTACATTGATTCCAGTTATAAGACTCGTACCTCATTCCTGTCCTTCAGAACCTAAGTTAGGAGCACAAAGAGAGTGGGGATTGTTCTTCCTCTGCTCCTCTTCTCCTGCTATATGTATTATTTCATCATAGACACAAGTGGCTTTTAAAAAGACCCCAAAGGAAAAGCCAGGAATAAGCTATACTTTCAAAGCATGAAATATGTCCATGTTCATTATATCAACCAGATATCAAAGTTACCTGTCATTCCAATAGGGTCATCATGTGGGAGAGGGCATAACAATTTAATTAAGTTTGAATTCTTAATCAGTTAATGAAGGGTTGAATCAGAAGAATCAGCGGAAGCATCTACTTGCTTTGATGGTGTTTGACTCCAGGGAAAGATTAGAATGGTACACCACAGTAAAAAGGCTGATTTATTTCACACTTTCCAAAGCCAATAATGTTCAAAAGAGAAAAATAATTTGTATTATTTTCCTACATACAATCTCACTGTATTTTCTATTAGTTCATTGGTCTCAGGTTTAAAAGCAATAAAAGATTATTTCTGTGTGCATGCATATTTAAAATTATTTTAACATACAAAACCAGAAATATAGCTATGTTTTAGCAGGATCTATGTACTTATGTTAAAACATAGCTATATTTCTGCTTGTGTATAATAATTTTGGTCTTCTGTCTTCATATTTTTTGCATATTTCAGCACAGACAACCTGCTATTTAATGCAGAGTCACAACATAGCTAATCATGACAAAAGACCAAGCTAAGAAAGAATTGGAACTTGAGTAGGGTAATAGATGCCTATAAATCTAATAGCGTGCATGGATAAATCACACATTGCTTGTGTCACCTATTCATTTCCCAGACTTTCCTATGAATAAAAGCTTATACTTGTTCCTGCACCAGCCACTTCTAAGAATTCCAGTGTAGTTATTAAGAATGCACCATTTTCTACAACACTCTATTTAAGCAGTATTTTCCATTCATTCTTCTATCTGACAAATGTTTATCGAGCACTTCCTATCACCAAGATACCATTGAATAAATACACACAGGAATGAACTCAGGAATTAAATGGTACTGCACTCTGTAATGTGCTTGAAGTAACTGAAATATTTCATCATTAGAAAATAATGAAAATGAGGGAAAGTATGGTAGAGTGACTTAGGGTTTCTTTATGATACATTAGTAACTGGATCGTGTGTCACATTAAATAAGATGTCATTTAGTAGATCAGAGCAGCAATATAAGGCTGTGCATGAATCTACATCATTAAATAATTTACTTTTTCTGATTTTATTTATTTATTTATTTATTATTGTGATTTGGGTGAAGATTTACAGAGCAAATTCATGTCCCATACAGCAGTTCACATATACTTTGTCTCATGTCATTGACCACAGTTTACCACAATGCAACAGCTCCCCTCCTACTTCCTTCCCATAGTTACCTCTTCCCAGTGTCCATCCCTCCATACTCTCCTGTCCCCTGAGCTGTCTCCCTGTGCACAAGCAGCCCTTCTTTCTCCCATGATTGTTCTCTCCAGGGCGTGTGTCTACTTGAGGTAAATGTATAACTCACATGCCTGTATTTTGTTTGGCTGGAAACCACAGTTGTGGGTTCAATTCCAGACCTGAAGGGCAGCTAGGGGCCATAGATAACCTCTGAAAGTGATATTTTCTAATTTTTTAAAGATATATTATAATCCTATGATAAATGATACCATATTTTCCCCACAAATTTGAAAACAGGCCATGTTCTAACACTTTTTTGTTTCCTTGACAAAGAAGAATAGTAGCAAAACTAGTGAGTATGGATCAAAAAATTCATAATTAAACTGAAAGTGCATGTTACAAAATGTGAGCAGTACTCAGATCCAGAATGATGAGGCTTAATGTTCTTCACCTTTATTGCTTTCATTGCTTTAGGTATTTGCAAGTCTTTGAAGAAAAAACAATTTATACTATTAATAATTTGAAATTAGAGAAAATCTCAGAGGGGCACCACGGTCCTAATGACAACTCAATAATAGGATTTCAAAGAGCAATACAAACACACATATAAAAACCACTGCCATCGAGTTGGATCTGACTCATAATGACCCCCAAACACACACATATATACATATTCAGGCATGCATACACATGCATACACACATGCACACATGCATACAAACATATATGTAAATACTCACTAAACTTACTGCTGTTGAGTTGGCTTTTGGGTTTGAACCACCAGCCTTCTGGTTAGCAGTCAAATGCCTTAAGCAATATGCCACCAGAGACAAACTTAATTTTTCTAAATGTAAAATATACAGTAAGTTTCAGATCATCTGGAGACTGATCAGTGAAAACAGACCCTCATTTATGGTGGAAATTATTATATATTAAAGATGGATACATAAATTGGAAGAAAAATGAGAGACTTATAGTTCAATAAGTAGTTAACAATTAAATAAAAAATACCCATCAGCCACTCTTCTGAAGGAAGATGGGGCAATCTACTTACGTAGTGATACTGCCTTGGGAACACAAGGAGGGGTCACTATAAGTCCAAATTGACTCGAAAACAGTGAGTTTAACCTTGGATTCATACCTCCTTTTCTGTACCAAAAACTATTCTCAATGAATTCAAAAGTTTATGTAATAAACAAATAAGGTGTTTGAAAAATAGAAATAAATTATTTGTTTATGTCAGAAACATAAAGGATCTTTTGAGCAAAAATGAAATGAAAAGTGAAAATTAGGAACGTAGGCACAACATGCATTATTTCTTCATCTGAACATCAAAATTGAGAAATAAAATTAAAACAGAACCTATGAATGAAACTTTACAACAAATATCACAAAGAATTAAAATCCCAAGGAAGTTGTATAGAGTAAAAGGGAAGGACATAATATCAACTTTAAAAAGAATAAAAATTACAAATATGAGAAATACTCAGCTTCACAAAGAAATATAAATTAGATGGGGTTTTTTCTTTGCTTATCAAATATTTAGTGATCTTAAGTCAATATTCATTTTGGTGATCAATAAAAACACATATTCTCATAAACTAGTTGAGAAGTGTATTTTATTAAATATTTTCTGTAGACTGTATTTTAGTATGTTATAAAAACCTTATATTGTTTCTAATAATGTAGCCTATGGAAATGTATATGAGGGTTTATTTGTAAGGATTCACTAGAAGTTTATTATAATACCAAAAAAAAAAAAGTCTGGATTTACATGTCTATATGAATTAAAGTGTATCTGTACGTTAGATGAAGTTAATATAACTGAAATTTTAGTTTTATGGACATCAAAATGCTCATTATATCATGTTTTATATGAAAACCAGGATAGAAAATCGTAAACCTGAATGTATAATAGGATTTGTATTCCAAAAAGAAATTAAATAAAAATGTTAATAAAGTTTACAACATTTTCTTCTTTGAACCTTATGATTTTTCTAAGATATTTACATTGCACATGGATTTCATTTATAATTCAAAAAAGTATTTAGTGCAGAGAAAATAAGTTAACTATTCCTTACCTTTTCCTTTAGTTACATTGTGATTACTTGGGTGATGAGATCTTCATTTAATTGTATATTACAAGAATGCTATACAACATCATGCTCTCCTTCATGCTACCACCTGGTTAAGGAAGACTGGACCCATACTTCTAGTCATTTTATAAGGAGAGATAGATAATGTCTCTGTCTCTGTTGCTGTCAAGTCGATTCCGACATAGTG